CATCAAGTTGCTTAAAATAACGACCCCAGCAGATTTAAGTCAGGATGATAAAAAGTATGTTATTTTTTGTGTGCTAAGGAGTTATAAACAAATACCACCTTACGTCCCTCAATCGCTTTGTGAGAGACACTTGCCCTTGTCCCAAGGGTGTTTCCCCGCTACATTTCAATTACTGTTAAATTTGTCCACTTTTCATATGCAAATTCGTCCCAGCCACACACTGTCTCTCTGGCTGGGCGTGCAAACTTAACTCTGACACCAAATCTGTGACGTATCAGCCAGTTATTGGCTTGCATTGTTAATCCATATTCATCAGAAGTTGTTGAATTTTTATCAAACTACGTTTTCCGACGCAAAGTTAAAAATTACCGTTCGCAGTTGAAGAGGAAGTTTAACTCTGGAGGGGAAAATAAACCTCACTTGGCCAGGAAGAAGAGTCACAAAAGCTACTGTAAATGTCACCGTAATGTAAGGTGAGAATTTTTTCGGAAAATGGTATCGTTTACTCGTTCAAAAAGCTAAAAACGTCGCACTTTCTCGGTTCACCGAGCCAACACGTGTCAGTTGTTCGGTCAGAAAGACTCTCCAACTCGAAGTTTAATTTGAAATAAGTGTTTGCACATGCAGAAGTAGCTTGCAGAGCGGGCGTTCAGCATTTTCTTGGCGAAAATCATAACTGCCCGCTCATCTCTTAGATTTTACAGCAGCGGAAAGCTGGGGCGAGAAAGAAAAGTTGCACTAAGGGAGGGGGTGAGACGGTTAAAATGAAGCAGAGGGAGGAGTGTGGGGGAAATTACTCTCGCCTTTCCCCCCTCTCCCTCACCTTCTACTCAAACTCTAAATCAAACATGGTCGGTCGAATAAACGATTCCGAGCCTTTAACGTTAACTCGCCCTAATAAGATGCCTGTACTGTAGACAAATGCAGAAGCAGATTATATGGTTGTTTAAAACATGATAGAAATTCGTCTTTTGGTCGAACGTTGACATAATCATTAGATCTATTTGGGACGTTATTTTGTAGTTGAACGCAGCCACGTGAATTTTGGAAGTCCTCTTTTAATCAGATTCCTTCCCTACAAATTTTTCAGAGAACAAAAAAAATACGAAATTTTTATTTCAATATGATGGCTTTCTTGTTGCGATTTAGAATAAAGAGCAGTCCCTGACCACATTGATAATTCATATTTTCAGGAAGACTGGTGGAATGTTAATAAGAGGATGGAAAGATCCAAGAATTTGACTTGAAGAACTTGATGAAACAATGAATATAAAGAGGATACCATAAAGATAAGATCTTTGAAGTTATCTAATAGCAGGAACAAAAATGGTGGCTTCTAAGTAGCTGATTTTTGTAGGGAGAATTTACTTTCCATCAGTTGACTGATTTTACTCATGTTGTGCTTGGAAATGTGCACTTGGTAAGTGAAGAGTTTACATTTGGCCACCATTTTTGGATTAATTTTCTATGATAAGGATTGATCTGCAGACCTTGGGCGAACGTAGGATTCATACCAAAAGTACCCCTAATTTGGCGAAATTTATCACAGAAGACTTGAATCGCTTGTGTACAAGTTGCAATTGGGATTTAATGAATAAGTTCGAGTGAACGCTCATTTTTTGTTTGCTTTACAGTTCTTATCACAAGAACATTTTTGTCGATGTAGCAAGTAGTTGATATTTGTTACGGTGGCACTGCAACAAAAGGCCTCAGTTAAAGGAAATGCAATTCTAAAATTTATATCGTGAACATCATCAACTAAAAAGACCACACTATTGACAACAACTATACTCAATGTTGAACTTAAAGAGCTATATTTACCGACTGACGCTGGAGTCCAGTCATAATTATCCCCCGGGGGGGAGGGGGTGGGGTAGAGGATTTCCTCTCGGGGGAGAGCACATGGATTTCAGGGGGAACAGAGGGGACCAGTCGTCGCCAACAGAGTATAAAGAGGGGACTACACAAAACGGACTGCCAATGAGGGTGAGGGGAAAGGCCTCACCCGGCAATAAATGACGGTCCCGCAGAGAGATAATCTACCAACCTACCAGCTAAGAACAGAATCCTGTCAACAAGTCACAACAGAACCCTTCAAACGACTATTCCAAGACATAAACAGTAAGGACCATTGTCAGTATCTGGGCAACTGCACACCTACCCCTCCCCTAACCCAGCAACAATCAACTGAGAACAACTTAGGGTCAATGTTGGGTTAGGGGAGGGGTCGGTGCGTATTCACTCATTTACTGACTTTGATTCAACATAACCGCCTGATCACAACTGACGGACACTTCATGAGACTTACCACCCTACTATAAGTCGAATTGGTGAAAATTCATGATTCAATCTCGACATGAGTTAATTAAATCACAGATTAAATATTGCTCATTAAAGAGGCATTTCTCGGCCAAAATTCAAAAAGAGACAAAATAAAGTGCAGTGCCATCTTACACTTGTATTACTGCTTTGCCATATTAACTAAAATAGTATACAGTTTGCAGCAAGTCTTAATTAGGCTTCTTGACGATTTATTTAAAACTCAAATGCCTGGTCGCAACAAGCCTTGGAAGGACTCTGGCGAGCTGAGATGTATCGGTACATAAGCCAGTTCAAACGAAAGCCTGTTGTTATCGAAAGAAATGGATTTTTTCTCTTCCGATGAGATTTAAATTGGTGTTTTTTCCCTCAAATGAAAGAAAAATAAGCATCACATTGTTCGAAAGCTATTAAAATATGCATGCTCGCCTGTTTCTAGTTCGGTACTTAGATTTTTATCTTTCGAGGAAATGTATGCAAAGAAAATCTTTTTGTTTTTCTTTATAATCGTCTCGACAAGATTACGATCTATTTCACGTGCTTGAAAAATAGTTAAATGATTATTTGTACATGCAGGCAGTACCAGTATATGCACATGCAGCCCGCAAAGCCTTAGTCGTGATTTTCATCGGATTCTAGTTTGAAATTTCATTAATTGGCTATTTTTTTGCAATACAGCTTTAAAGCCTGTTTGGATTTCGTTATGCCTGGAGACCAACCCTACGGCAAATTCTGGCAAGATTTCTGTAAACCCCAAACTTCGTTGCATTTGCATGCAGTACCTGGACAAAAGTAAACGATGCTAAAACAATAGGTTGCCTTAATTTTTGGATAAATTACGGCATTGTTTTAGGGAAATCTTTCCCAAAAGTACACAGATTTTTTATGACACAATATTCATGCAATATTCAAAAAATTTTTCGGCCTTGAATCGTCAATGTTAGTAATATTTCGTTCGTAATTTCGCATAGTAACGAGAAACAATCCGGAAGTGTAATGAACTATGAACCTCGTTGCTAATTCGTGAAAAAGAAACACGCAGAACTTAACTGAAAAGTTTTAATTCAAAATTGAATAATCAATGTGATAAATACTCTTTCCCTCTTTAAAACTTGAAAGTTCTGAAATATGATGTTGCGAAGGATTTCGTTTCGCTGGGTTATGTAACGCCGTCTCAGTTCGAATGATTAATTTTGTCGAAATTTAACAATGTTGGACTCGACATAACAATCCTTAGTTTCTCGTTGGGCAAGGCATTTGATTTTTAGTTGTAGCGTAGTTTATTTACTTTCGTAGCTATGGAAATATCTTTCGCGCTGTCATCAGGTTCGGTGTAACACAGGAAAAAAGTACTTTTCAGCTATCCTTTTTTTGCTCTTCAAATCAATGAATGCATGGTATTAAATAACGGAATTGAAAATTTGTAATATTATGCAATGAAGAACGCGGAGTTTCAGCAACCATTCTTTCAGCTTTGGCATTGAAACCAAATTTTAATAATTTGTTTCGGGAATACGAGTGAATCATAACCAAATATTTTTTCAGACAATGTTTAAGTTAAGTTGAACTAGAGCCATTTGTGAGACGATAATTCTTACGACCGAAATCAAAATGGAATAAGTTTTTTGATACTATTTTATTTTTTTAATCGCTTCGGGAATTCCGTCAAAGCACTTGGAGTCTTACCGTGAAATGTTTATTAGCTCTAGCGGCCAAATATAAGCTGGAGGAGCATTTTCGAATGATTCTACTGTCTTATTCAAAACAATTTCTGTAATAGAATTATAGATCTTAAAAAACTACGTTCAAAATTATAATTCCTTTTGACCGCTTGATTATAAAGAGAATACGGCTAAAATCTAACTTAAGGCGTTTTTTGTAACGATTGAAAATTGTTTCAATCAATGAATTGTTTCACAAATTCAGTTCAATATCTTGAGAAAAATATTTCATTATTTTTCTGGCTTCTCTCCTGTGTTACATTCGAAAACTAGCTGCGTGAAAGATCTTACGTATTGAAAAAACATCATGGCAACCTCTAGCCTAAATAACTCAATTTGGCCATGAAAAAAATTCAGCAACAACAAATTTAATTAATTCTATTTCGACGATCGCTAATCGAAATGATTTCAGGTAAAAATCCTTACACCTTGCCATGGTGCTTTTTCCTATAAAACTCTCAAAAACATCATCTCGTGCAAGAAACTCAAGTCCAAAATATTGTGAAAAAGAAGCAAAATCATGCTTAAAAAAATAGGAACAATGTTGAAGCATAGAGAGAATTGGTATTTAATTTTCAATTTTTTTGTACCAGGTGATGTTTAAATAATTTTTGACGGGAAATTTAAAAGGAAGCCTTGTTGAAATTTTTGCTGAAAAAGCTGCCAGGGGAAACTCTGTGCAAGTTGGTCTAAATTTTCCCGCCAAAAGTCTTAGTATATACACGAAAATTTTTTGTAGACACTTTGTTATTAATTAAAAAAAGAATCAATTATTTAATTAACTAGCAATTGAAAATAAACAGATGCTTCTGTTAAAGGAAACGTGTTTGGTGTATTGAGTATATATAAGAAAAGACAATACAAAAATTGATATTTTTATTGACTTATTTGTGAGTATATGGTAAAAATATAAGTAGACACGATGAACGTAGCATTTTTTTTAAAAAAAATCGGGTATTTTTGAGCACCGTATTTTTTCTAAGTCTTTTGGCGGGAAAATCCGCCACAGTTGAACAGATGTTACTTACAGAATCAATAAAGAAAAAAAAAATGGTGCATACGTATTGAGAGCGCCTGATTTTTTTTGGCAGGAAAAGTTAACTCGTTGAAAAGGTCTAAATAAATTCGATTACAATGTCTAACAAAATCGCGAAATAAATACGTTTGGCCTCAAGCCTTTTCAATTTCTGGTTGGTACTCGTTGTGATCTGGAGAGGAATGTCCTTTATCTGCTTTGTACCTGAGTAATTAGTCTTTCTTGCTTAGGGTGTTCACCAGTCCATCTACGAGAAAATGAAAATGCGCAATGAATCAATAAATTAGTGGAATATTCTAATGCTTGCTTTTTCAAGCGATAATGATTTCGAGGGGTTGGTTGTGAAGTACAGAAGCGTCCCCAATAACTGTAACTCCCATTAGTGACCAAGACAGGATTTCTCCTTACAATATCAAGCAAACAAGTGATAAGAGTTTAGAAAAATATCCATTAGGTTATCAGTTGATCCAAAACCAAATTCTCCAAACTAACGACAACAGCATGAGAATTGTACAGCCCACTAGGCTTCGTAAAACTCACTTTTCTGAGTTTAAGAAGGCTAGCTTCTAAATCCACGCACGGCTTTTTGAAGATTAAAGATGTTTTTACAATTTGCACCTAAAATGAACGATTTTTACGAAGTAGAAGCTCTATCCTTTTGCACTTGAAAATACTCCAAATTCGGTCATTTTTTAATGTGAAAGTCATTTTCAAGAGCGATTTTCTGAAAACCCTTATTACCCACGACAAATCAACGCATGGCAAATGGCAGATCAATCTTTCCCCTAGAAAAAACCGTTTTAATTTCGAAAATTGGCCAACGGAAACCTTTATCCTTTTCAGTTTGAAAATTTTTAGTCGAAGTTGCGTTCAAAAATGGCGCGTTTTGAGCGAGCGAGCCATGAATAAAAATACGCCAGTCAAACATTGTTGAAACATTTGCACTTGTACAATTATTCACAATAGTCGTGAATTTTAAAAGTGCTACGTGTTTCACAAGTCACACCTTCGCTTTACAGACGGAGTGAATCCTGATGGCGTGCACCGACCACCAAGTTGTTGATGTTCAGGAGCTCTTTTCAGAGCTCACTGAATTCCCGATCGCCCTGCAATGTGTGTACGATCAGGCCTAATGATCAGTTTCAGTCCAGGGGTAGCACTGGCATAAAAAGCTCAAAGGAAACTGTGATCCTTCCATAGCAAATTTTTTGGTATGCTCTATTACGTTCGTTTTTCCTTCTTCGAATCGAAAAAACTTGTGTTGCGATTCAGAGACTTTATTTTATCCTTCATTTACGATAAAAGTAATCATAATCTTTAGATGACACAGAAGGAACGGATTCATCATAGTTTAATGTATTCGGTCCTCCTAAATATTTTTTAACCAATTCTTGATTTTATTACATTGAAAACTCGATTTCTTTAGCATCATCACAACATAAGACGATGGTTTCACGAAATTTGGATACAGGCCGAGCAAGATACAGTTTTCAACGTTTATATTTCTTCATTCAATCAGTTTCTTTAGAGTACTATTTTTAACTATTTTTCTCGGTGCTTTTTCATCAGATAAAATCTCTTGCAAAAGTACCCTAAGCTTCATATGTACCACAGAAGGAAAACTTAAAGCACGGACTCAATTTATCCAAGATTCAAGCTGAGTTATTTAACCCGGCAACCAACTTAGGTGTTAGCCACAAGAATGAGCTTCATTACATGTTTCATATTAATAATATCACACCCTTATTTGTCTGATTTGAAAATGAATAATCCTTTGAACAATTTAAGAAATGTCAATTTTCGGAGTGTATTTTTGAAAATGGTTTTAGTCTGGAGAATTCTGGCATTTCATTAAGTTCCTATATCTATTATTGAATAAGCAAAAAGTTCAAAAATTAAACCTTACTGCTTCGCTTTTCGCGCCTCATAAGAAATACATGTAGAATAAGCTTACGCTAGGTAAGAAATAACTTATTCCACGTTTTGGTGTGTAAGAATTCGCTGAGTATCTTTTAACTGGTTGTTTGATTTTTACGGCAGATCTCGTAAAAACTCAGCGATTCTACAAGGCATACTTAGGCTCGAGAAAAAAAAGCTTGAGCAAAGCAACTCTCATTCAACGAAAAAAGCGTTTTTGACCATTAACAAATCAGGGATCTAAAAGAATCACAAATTAAAAAAAACAAAACAAAAAACATTTTGATAACTATAAACTTTTGGAGCACTGTGACTTGGTTTTGGCCTCAAGAGCTCAGATATTTGATAATTTGACTCCAAGGCTCTCATGTAGTTGCGGAAAAAGCTATTATTTTGCAAAACATAATCATTGCTTTAAAAAGAGCTCTGAAAATACAACATAGCCAACCTTGAAGATGCTGTCCATTTTGCTTTCGTCCCATGCAGTTTTTGACCGCCAGGTCATTCCATCTCATGCTTGACGCTGTCAGAAAAACAGATTCTGTTGGAGCACCTACGTTTAATATCGATAATTTTGTCGAATGGAGCAAGAAATAAACATTTTTAAAATAAACGCTTATGCTAGAATAAATTTGAACCCTAAACCTTAACTTTTTAACCCCCAGATCAAATTTCTAATTCTCCTTACTGTCAACCATACAATTCTTATAATGTTAGTTCAGAGAATTTAATATTGGATCAACGTATTATCTCGAAATTGATATTTTTCTTTATTCTCATCACTTACCTGGTTAATATTCCATTGATATCGTAAGGAGAAATTCTGTCTTGGTCATTCATGGGAGTTTAAGGGTTAAAGCTAACAGGCACTGTTTCATTCAAGATCTCAGGAACATGTTAAAAAAAAAAAAGCCTCGAAATAGAGGCTCTCTCTGTTTAAGATACGTCTTCCACAGCCGCTACAGGTTCTGTAGCATGAAGCGGGTAGATGTGTCACTTCTCCTCATCGAAGGGATGATGCTTTTCCAAGTTGGGTGACCCCTTAGTATTTCATCAGGATTAAACAACAGTTTGCTAGTACCAACTCGTACTTCTGGGCAATTGGAATTTCTACCATCTACAGTCTCTGCATCAGGACTGGAAACAAGCCCCTGGTATCAAGTAAAAGGTCTTAACGTTAACCTAGGTCCACAAATATAGGTAAACATGATTAAAACTGCGATCAATACACGAACAATAAAGTACACATCTCGCTGTATTGCAATGAAGTCCCATGATACAAGAAGAACTGTCATGGCTGCATTCACATGCCGTAGGATGACTTCCACTGTACAGTTTGCGACATGCCCTTCCCTTTACATTCAACTCAGTCGATCATTCAGTACATAGGGGAAAGGAAAAAAACCATGAACACCGATTTTCTATCGAAAATTATTAATACAAGAGTTTTTTACCTTGACGAAAATTCGTGATAAAGTGACATCCATCACTCCTCGACGTCGAATCCAAACAAATCCATTCAGCAATCCCGAAGAAACAGACGTCGACGATCGTCCTCAAAACTGACGACTTCGAAGAGAATAACGCCGAAAATTAAATGCTTCTTTACCCCAGTGAAGCTAAACAAGACCCCACGATTTCTGGCTTGCAGTTTTCAAAATCCTTCCACGTGCAAGACTGGCAACAAATATGAATATTGAATAGGAACATAATTTGCAATTCAAATTAGTTTCGCGACCCTGGTTGTCGGACCCACAAGCTCTTCAGTCAGATTCGTTCAGTTCCGAGATGAGTGGAAATGCAACAATTGGCCATAAACTGATTTTAACCTTAGTAAAGTTCATTGGAGGGCTGCAGAGAAACTCAAACTCAAACAGTTCCCTTCTAGAGCAATTTTCATTCATTCAGCCACTCAAACTCCCTATCTGTTTCACAGGTTCCATGACAAATCGAGTTGGCAGGGTTGTACATTATTTCAATCTGTATGGTGTCGATAAAAAGACAACGGTGAAGGTAGAAAAAAAAAACAGACAAAAAACCAAAAGCCTAAACAAATTAAACAAAACAAAACAAAACAAAAATAAAACAAGACAAGCAAAACAACAGAAAAAAAAAAACAACCACGCCGAATAGAACTCAAACAAGACAGAAAAAAACGAAACAAAACAAAACAAAGAAAAAAACGCAAAAAAGTAAACACAAAAAAACATGATAAAACAAAACAATAAAGGGAAAAATATAGTAAAGACGTATCAACTTTTCATTTTCGAGAACTCCTCTTTTAATATCCGCGATAAGTTGTGGTGGAAAAACCGAAAATGGGGCGCATGAGAAACATTTGTCCAGCGGAGCCTGCCTACGCATGAACAGATCGTCACCTATCCTTTTTCGAGAGGCGCGGGGGTGAGATTGTGGTATCGTAGAAATACAAGATCATTTATTACGTAGCCTAGTATAGTCTCCTTACCAATGTCACGCAAATCCCCCGATATTAATTTTTTTTCGCTGATAACTTCTCATAACCTCCGAAAAATATTTCAATCTCTTTGGGACCGGTCAGTACTTATCGACTTTGGGATGGAATATTGTTGGGGAGGATCACATGGTATTCAAGGGAAATGGTGCGGGGATCAGTCGTCACCAACAGGGTATAAAAAGAAAATTGATATATAGATTTAGCCAAGCCTAAAGGCGGAGCTTGCATTTTTTTCCCCGCACGTCTCAAGGGCACATCGCCTTGTCCCGGCCAGGAATAGAACCCGGGTCGTCCGACTCGGAGCCCAGTGCACTGACCAATGGACTACTGAACAAAGCCGTGACATTGGCGTACCCGCGGTGGAGTTGACCACGCATGTTAAAAGTCGCACCGTGTACGGTCTTAGGGTCTTACGGTCGTACGGTCGTACATCCAAATTTTTTCGGCTTGATGGGTTACTACTATTTTGTATAATCATGGGGCTACGCTCTGCGAGCTCCGCTATAACAAAACACAAACCCTTTGTCTATACAAAATTTTCAGTATTCAGCAATTTACGTACAGGTCAACTGAAATACTTCAACACTTCCGTCCCGTCATACGCAATAGGTCCATATAAAAGTTTCCCCCCTAATTTATCGTAAGTGTGCTTTGTTTTCAGTTTGTTTGCTTAATTTTGACTCAACACTACTGAGTAACCTCTCGCCAAGAGGCCCTAGAACTGCAAAAAAATTGTTCCCTGATCAGAAGTGTAACACCTGGGAGCAGAAGTATTGAGCAGCAGTGGTGACGATCAACTAAAAGCTACATAAATGTATGCTCCAATCAGCCAAAAGCCAATCAAATAGACTGATAAACAATAAGATCAAGGCAATTGCATGTGTTCCTCATAGTGGCTAAGGAGCTGGGAAGCACTGCTCAGTTCCTCCTGGCAAATCCAGCACGTAAATGTTTCGTCGTAATCTGAAGAATATGGCTGCTGAGCTGAGTGCAATTTTTCATGTCTTTGTAGTGTTCCCTTTTGGGTAAAACACTTGTCACAAGCTTTGCATTGGTATGGCTTCTCTATAATGTGGGATTTTTTATGAACTTGTAGATCTCTTTTTAGAGTAAACCACATGTCACACGTTTCGCACTGGTATGGCTTCTCTTTCGTGTGGTTTCTTTCATGGACCCGAACAGTTCCCTTTCGCGTTAAACACACATCACAGGATTTGCACTGGTATGGCTTCTCTTTAGTGTGGGTTCTTTCATGAATTTGCAGACTTCTTTTTGCAGTGAAACACTTCTCACACATTTTGCACTGGTGTGGCTTCCCTCTATTATGGGATCTTTCATGTCTTTGTAAACTTATTTTTTTACTAAACCACTTATCACAAGTTTTGCACTGGAATGGCTTCTCTCCAGTGTGAGATCTTTCATGGACTCGAAGATTTCCCTTTTGTGTAAAACACATGTCACATGTTTTGCACTGGTATGGCTTCTCTCCAGTGTGTGACCTTTCATGTCTTTGTAGAGTTCCTTTTCGATTAAACCATTTGTCACAAGTTTTGCACTGGTATGGCTTCTCTCCAGTGTGAGATCTCTCATGAACATCTAGATTCCCTTTAAGAGTAAACCCCTTGTCGCAAGTTTTACATTGGTATGGCTTCTCTCCTGTGTGAGATCTCTCATGAACATCTAGATTCCCTTTCAGAGTAAAACACTTGTCACATGTTTTGCATTGGAATGGCTTCTTTCCAGTGTGACATCTCTCATGAACATCTAGATTATTTTTTTGAGTAAAACACTTGTTACAAGTTTTACACCGATATGGCTTCTCTCCAGTGTGGGATCTTTCATGTACTCGTAGACCTCTACTTGAAGTAAAACACATTTCGCAAAATTTGCACTGGTATGGTTTCTCTCCAGTGTGGGATCTTTCATGAATAAGTAGATTCTCTTTGCGAGTAAAGCACTTGTCACAAGTTTTGCACTGGTATGGCTTCTCTCCAAAGTGAGATCTTTCGTGTACCTGTAGATGTCCCTTTTGCTTAAACCACTTGTCACACGTTTTACACTGGTATGGCTTCTTTCCAGTGTGGAATCTCTCATGAACATGTAGATTTCCTATGTGAGTAAACCTCTTGTCACATGTTTTACACTGGTATGGTTTCTCTCCGGTGTGAGATCTCTGATGAACATTTAGATTCCCTTTGTGGGTAAACCACTTGTCACATGTTTTACACCGGTATGGCTTCTCTCCTGTGTGAGACCTCTCATGTGCCTTTAAATTTCCTTTTTCTGTAAAATACTTGTCACAAGTTTTACATTGGTATGGCTTCTCTCCATTGTGGGATCTTTCATGTCTTTCTAGATTTCTTTTCTTTGTAAAACATTTGTCACAGGTGTTGCAATGATATGGCTTTTCTCCAGTGTGGGATCTTGCACGAATTTGAAGATTTTCCCTTAGTGTAAAACACTTGTCACAAGTTTTGCATTTAAATGCCTTTTCCAGACAAGAGTTGCTTTCAGGTTTTGGAGTTTCTTTAGAAAGCGATTTGATTTTCCTCTTTTTGTGCGCCTGGTTAGTCATGGACGTTTTTGTTTTGGCCATCGAAGCATAAACTAGGAGACATTCCTTGACGAGAAAAGTGCTCTAAAATACTAGAGGTGAAAAAGAAAAGATTTATTCAACCAGACGGGCATACCGGACGAGTTTCAGAAGCAATGTATTAAATTTGAATAAACAAAGAAATTGGACAGTGAGTTGGGTAAAATATGTTTCAAAAGGAATACTCTTCCAGGAAAGGAAGTTTTATTAGAACAATTGCACTAACAAAGAGATTTACTGACAGTGCAATTCCTGGCCAATGCCCTGAAAGAAAAACCTTTACACGAGTCAGGACATACAAAGAGAAGTGCATTGCCAACAAGTCCCTTTACATAGCTTCACACAACCAGTTCATTCAATCTACAGGTTGTCCCTATGATTCTTATCCTTAACCCATAGTTGTCACTGTGCAAACAATTTGTTCCGCCTGTCACCATCAAGTGGAGCAATCCAAAGTACAAAAAGTAGACAACAGAAATTTCTAATAGATACTACAAAAGAGATTCCCAATAAACTTTAATAGAAAGAATCTGGTTAAAAGGTAAAAGACAATGGTGAAAAAGTACGAAAAAGCAGTTTAACACTGCATGACTGGCTACTGTGGCACGATTTGTATAGCATTGAAAAGAACTAGGGGTTGTCTAATGATGCTAGAAGGTAGTGCCGCAGATGATTTGTCTCACATGCTTAACAGAAAACTTGCCACAAAAGCTCTCAAAAAAAGGGGGGGCAAAACCCTCTAGGGCTAAAATCCTCTAGGGTTTTTATTAGTTTAAACAAAAATATTTGATGTGGGAAACTGTCTTCCTCAGTAGCTGTTTGTTTATATTGGAGAGATATTTGCTTTGAACTTGCTGTAAATATAGCTGGTTGATAATAGGAGATATCAAATGACATGTGAGATGTGGTTTAAGGGTTCATATGAGCTATGAATGTATGAAAACTTTCAAGTTGAAAAGGGAAGTACAGCAAACCTATTATTTATTTTCTGAGTCTTTTCTTCTGTAATTTTCGATTGAGTTCAAAAGCTAAAAAAACAAGCCTCAAATTAAGGTGACAAAAAGTGGAAGATTAAAAAAAAAAAGTCTGTCATATTGGATGACCTATAATATCAACACCCCCCCTGTAGTCGACATAACTATCTATTTCAGGTAAAAAAACTTTTCAAAACACTGCAACACAACGAAAATTGTGGGGGGTTTGAAGATGTGTCTCCTTTGGCCAAAATCTTTCTTACCTAAGTAGTCTTTTCTTACTTTTTTTGGCCAAAATCTTTCTGTACTTTTCTATTGAGTTCAAAAGCTAAAAAAACAAGCCTAAAATTATAGTGGAAAGAAGTGGAAAATTAAAAAAAAGGCTGCCATATTGGATAACCTATAATATCAACACTACCTTATAGTCAACATAACTATCTATTTCACTCAGGTAAAAAACCTTTCAAAACACTGCAACACAATGAAAATTGTGGGGGATTTGAAGATGTGTCTGCTTCAGCCAAAATCTTTCAATTTACAACAAACTTCCTGCACTTACAAAGTGTTGCTGAAGACAGAGACATATTAACATAAACAGCCTTTTTGCTTGACCAGGTATGCCCTTGACTGACACTCACACATCACATCCCATCAATAGAGTATGAATATTTTCAAATTGTATTATTTTGCCAGTTTCTCCTGTGTAAGTTTTCTACCTATAATTTGAGAAAACAAATCCTCACTCAAACACATCTAAATATTTTTTCCCAACTTGATAATCATAAAAACTGACATCATAGCTCATATTACTAATATTTATGATTATCTACATTTCATTTTTAAGGAAACTATTTCATGTGGCATTGGGTGACAAAGAGACAGCCATCTCATAGGAGCTTGGATTTGCCAACTTTAACTCCCATGAGTGACCAAGACAGAACTTCTCCTTACAATATTGATACAATATCAAGCAGACAAGTGATGAGAATAAAGAAAAATCTTAACTAGGGGATGATTAGTCG